GGCATGCCGATGTTTCCGATACATGACGTTCAGCACATGGAAGCTCTACTGGACAATAATATATATATTTTTTTAAATGCCATCGATGTCGCAAATGGTTCGTGCTATACATGCACTAATTATACTTATCCCAATGGTATGGAACACTTTACTTTATTATTTGTACTAGCGAGTACCCGGCATGCGTTGCAATGCCACTCAAGGAAAGAAAGTGTTTGCATGTTATGTTTCTTCAAGAGCTTTTAAATACTCACAGTTTTTCTTGTTTTTCCATCTGTATATACACGAATAAATCAGAAGATTTTCCGACGCGAGAGCAGACCACATACATCTGTCCATGGGCGAAGCATGGGTTTTCCAAATTTAGTCCGCAAACTTGTAGCGATTGTCCCTGTGCTTTTTAGATAGTCATTGTAGACGCGTGTCGCATCGGAAACTGTAGGCGTTTGAATTCAAATGGCATATCTGTTGGAATCATTGGGGTGAATGGCAAAAGTACATCACCTAGTTTAAATTTTCCATTTAAAATAGTAACTTAAATGGAACCAATTTCGGAAGATTCATTTGAAAAAATGTACCGTACCTAATGCTTCGATATCAAAGTGCGTTTCTCGTTGCAAATCAAGAGCGAAAAGTTTGTTTGCAGATCGATTCCGAGAGGTCATTCCCAACTCATGAATCATCAATCGATATGAATAGTATTTCATGGCACTGTCTTTCTTATTCGAATTTCTCAATTTGATGTCAAAATGATATCCATCTTCTCCTTGCCAAAATAAAATAGGATATTGCAATCAAACGTATGAGCGATGAGTTTCTGAGACTCGCTGAACATCAACACTTCTGCGATGAAGAATTATATCACTTGAGTTAAATTCTTTGCCAACTATAATGATCGCCACTTCATCAATTGTTGGTGCATTGTATTGTCTTTCATGTTGGCCGACAGGTGTTTAGTCTGCTCTAACTATGACTTTGTATTCATCAGTCGGCATCTTTTCAAGTGCAACTCTATACATTTGAATTAATTCGTTGTGTTGCAAAAATAACGTTTGCATTGCAGCGACGATTTCTCGTTTAGTGCCCGTATTGATATGACAACGTTGATCGATTTGCTCATCAGTATTCCCCATGAAATCATTTGAAGACATTTGTGATCTGTGTTTGGCATTGGCATCAGAGATCCTACACGATGGTAAATTTGGCCTTTCACTTTACTTTAAATGTTGGCATGTAATTCTCGCGCACGATATTTGTTGCACCGAACGATGTCATTTGGAAACATGAATTGCATTTGCGTATGTTTGCCAAGAAATGTTTCGATTGGCTATTGTCACCTGATACCAACAATGATAATGGTTTTGATGGTGAATGTAATTCTCACACGTTAGGATCTCCCATCTTTTTACATGAAAACCTCGCACAATAGGTACGTTCATTGTTGGCAGGAGATTTCCAGTTGTATAGTTTCTCATTAATTTATAAATCGTAAATTCCAGAGGTAAAAAATGACCATAGTTCAATATCTACGCTGTCAAGTGTGTTATTTAATTACTTGAGAAACCATCGATTGGTGTAAAATGTATTTACATAACACAAAACAACTCCGAAATTATAAGACTCTATTCAAGAAATACTCTTAGTTGAAAAAAAAAACGCGATTTCGATGTCATTTCCGATTCTAAAATGCGTCACAAAATTCAAGCTTATTTATACACATAACAAAAATACTCTCTACACTAAAAATGTAAAAACGTGTTTTCTCTGCTTTACTACAAATGTGTCATTTGTTCAAGGGCGGTAGTGTTGATATCTTCGTTATAAATTATATTGATGAAGCTCATTTAAGAAAATAAATTGAATTTAGGGTCCCCAGCCCTAATTGGAATATTGTACAATGGATGTACTAAATTTGAAAAATTTGCCGGCGGATTCAGCTACTTCCACACATGCAATAGCTCTGTTTGAAATTATAGTTACAAAGCTCTTAGAAGAAAATATGAAATTAGGGTCACTGGCCCAAACGGAATATTGTAAAATGTTTTTTTCTAATTTAGAAACATTTTCGGTAGTGCGCATTTCACTTGACCCAGTTTGATCACAATCGAATGAATGGTATAGAAATGCATACTATAATTATATAGATAATAGAAGTGTGGAAAACGAATTTAGGACCCCCCTCCACAAATGGAATATTGTAGAATTGTTGTATTACTTCAGAAACCTACTTAATATGTCACACACTCAATTTAATATCACTATTTGTATTTGATTAAAAAGCTATCCATTCATGCTTTAGCTCTGTTTGAAATTATAGTTGTATAGCTTAAAATTATAGTTGTATAGCTTATATAGAAAAAACGAACATAGGACCCCTGGCTAAAAACGGAGTATTTTAAAATGGTTGTAATAATTTAAGAAACCTTTGCGGGCGGGCGCGCGCACAACATCTCTCTAAAATTTTATCGCATTGTAATAATGTAGAGGAGCGCATACGGAAATTATTTTTTATAAAGCTCCTAATGTAAGGAAAAAAACACGAATTTTGGGCGATTGCCAAAAAAACGGAATATTTTAGTAGAGTTATAATGGCTTAGAAAAATGCTCTGGCTTATGGACAACAACTCACCTCAGTTTTATCGCAAGCGCTTGAATGATGTAGGAGCGCATGCGGTTTGAAATTATATTTATATAGCTCATTTTGTAAGAAACAAACATAGGGCCCCTGGCTCAACACTGAATATTTTAAAACGGTTGTAGTAATTTAAGAACCTTTGTGGGCGATAGAACAACATCTCACTAAATTTTTATCGCATTCTGAAAAATGGTATAGGAGCGCATAGAAAATTATTTTTTACAAAGCGCATATAAGTAAAAATAAGAATTTGGGTCAACGGCCCAAAACGGAATATTTTAAAAGTGTTGTAATGAATGGTTATGTTTATAGATAACAACTCGTCAAAGTTTTGTCGCAATCGCGTGAATGGTGTAGGAGCGCATACGGTTTTAAAATATATTTATATAGCTCATATTAGGAAAAACGAATATGAGGCCCCTGGCTAAAAACTGAATACTTTAAAACGGTTGTAATAATTTAGAAACCTTTATGGACATGCTTGCAACATCTCACCAAAGTTTTATCGGAATCGGATAAATGGCGTAGGAGCGCATATGAGAATTATTTTGTACAAAGCTCATATAAGAAAAAATACGAATTAACGGCCAACGGCCCAAAACGGAATATTTTAAAAGTGTTGTAATGAATGTTTATGTTTATAGATAACAACTCGTCAAAGTTTTGTCTTAATCGCGTGAATGGTGCAGGAGCGCATACGGTTTGAAATTATATTTATATAGCTCGTATAAGAAAAAAACGTAAATAAGGCCGCTGGCTAAAATTGGAATATTTTGAAAAGTTTATAATAATTTAAAAACCTCTGCGGCCGTGCTTCCAACATATCACCACAGTTTAAGTTTTATTGCAATCGGATAAATGGCGTAGGAGCGCATATGAAAATTATTTTTTACAAAGCTCATAATAGAAAAAATACGAATAAGAGCCAACGGTCGAAAACGGAATATTTTTAAAAGTGTTTAAATAACACAGTAAAATTCACTGGCGCATGGACAACAACTCACCAAGTTTTGTAGCAATCGCATGATTGGTGTAGGAGCGCATACGGTTTGAAAATATATTTATATAGCTCATATTTGGAAAAACTTATATGAGGCCCCTGGCTCAAAACCGAATACTTTAAAACGGTTGTAACAATTTAGAAACCTTTATGGACATGCTTGCAACATCTCACCAAAGTTTTATCGGAATCGGATAAATGGCGTAGGAGCGCATTTGAAAATTATTTTTTACAAAGCTCATATTAGAAAATATACGAATTAAGGGACAACGGTCGAAAACGGACTATTTTTAGAAGTGTTTAAATAACACAGTAAAATGCATTTGCGCATGGAAAACAACTCACTAAGTTGTGTAGCAATCGCATGATTGGTGTAGGAGCGCATACGGTTTGAAAATATATTTATATATCTCATATTAGGAAAAACGAATATGAGGCCCCTGGCTCAAAAATGAATACTTTAAAACTGTTGTAATAATTTTTAAACCTTTATCGACATGCTTGCAACATCTCACCAAAGTTTTATCGGAATCGGATAAATGGCGTAGGAGCGCATATGAAAATTATTTTTTACAAAGCTCATATAAGAAAAAATACGAATTAACGGCCAACGGCCGAAAACTGAATGTTTTTAAAAGTGTTTAAATAACACAGTAAAATGCACTGGTGCATGGACAACAACTCACTAAGTTTTGTAGCAATCGCATGATTGGTGTAGGAGCGCATACGGTTTGAAAATATATTTATATAGCTCATTTAAGGAAAAACGAATGTAAGGCCCCTGACTCAAAACTGAATAATTTAAAACGATTGTAATAATTTAGAAATGTTTATGGACATGCTTGCAACATCTCACCAAAGTTTTATATGAATCGGATAAATGGCGTAGGAGCGCATGTGGAAAATATTTGTACAAAGCTCATATAAGAAAAAAAAAAACGAATTAAGGGCCAACGGCCAGGAACGGAACACTTGATAAGATTTTCAATGACTCAGTTAAATGGCCGGTTTTGTGGACAACAACTGACCAAAGTTTTGTCGCAATCGCATGAATGGTGTAGGAGCGCATACGAGACATACAGACATACAAACATTCATTTATATATATATAGATAGATTAGATAAATCATTTTTTATTTTTTGGGACATGGACCCACCGAGTATTTTATCAAAATTCCCAGAAAAGATGTAAAGAAAGCTGCACCCAGCTCAGCCTTAGTGGTAGAGGGGAGACGCTGTGGTGAAAATGTAGCTTTATAAATATTTATTATTATGATTAATATTCTTTGCACAACAAACTGATATGCTGTTGGTTTCCGTAGGTAAGTGACCCGGAAGCTAAACTTCATAACTTGATATAATGTTAGTAAGCATCTCTGATCACGTGATCGAAATTCAAACAAGATGGAGGATTTACCAGAATAAACTTAACTAAAAATTCCCAGCGATGAGAAACTATTTACATTACGGTAATTTCTATTTAATTATGCATTAGATACCAAGCCCAAACCTATCTTTAAAGTAAGCCATATTTTATTTTTAATGCCTTCCATCTTTTACACACTGTCTACAACTTCCAATTTTTCAAGGACTCCTCTACACGTCTAGTCCTAGTCAAACTACACTGACCTACAACATGACAACATCTTGTTTTTTTATATAAAATTTAAATCAAATTAAAAAATCGAACACATTAGGCTTAGGCATTATTTGGTCTTTTAAGTTATAAATTAAAGACTAACATAAGATAAATTCTTGGCTAAATCTTAGGACGAATGCCTCAGCGTCTTTTGGGTGTTTATTATAGTTATAGTATAGTTGCAGTGAATTAGGGTTTGGGTTAGGTTGAGGGATCAATTTAAATTTAGGGTTCAAGTTAGGCATAGGGATCGATTTAGGGTTCAGGTTAGGCACAGGGATTGATTTAGGGATACATTTGTGAAAGATACAACCAAGATGGCGGCCATCGATAAAATAGTGGCATTCGTCCTCGTAATTTACCAAATTCTTTATTGATCCAAAAAAGTGGAAAAGTTTTTTCATTACATTGTTTGTAAATATTCATTTTCAACTCATAAATTTAAATAAATACTAAATAATATTATAAACACAAATGATTTAAATTTAAATGAAGATCAAGTCAACAAAATTTTTCATTTTAAAATTTAAATAATTATAACAATGATTAACAATAAACAATTTAAACATAAGACATCTATAGTATTTCTCTAGCATCACAGTGTATCAAATCAGTCATCAATGAACTCCTTTAACTTTAGTGACAATAATGACTTAATTATTGATCATTCAAATTTGGTAACTGCTAGGTGAGCACGCTTGTGAATTCGTGCTGACTGGGGAAAAAAAGAATTTTTGTCATTCCTCCGAATGTCTGTCTCAAATTCAAAATACTAGTAAAATAAATCAAATGATTGGTTACTTTAGCAGATCAATAATGTTTTACCAAGATCATGGTTAAATGTGATAATATAAGAATTGTCACTTAACAGCTGCTAGTAACAGTTTCTTTCCAAAATCATGGTCCTTGTTGCAAATGGCTACTAGAAAGCTTGGAAACTGGCCATGGTGTGTTCCACCTTGTTGAACTTGAAACCCATTCTGAAACTCAATTTGGTTAAAAGTTGATGTAATTTCCAATGGCGCCCCAACTTTCAATGCTTTCAAAAAGCATAGCATGCTTGCATTTCCATTAGCAAACCCATTAGAATATCATCATGACGATTTTCTGTGTGCTAAGTCCACACTTTTTCAAAAAATAACCTGGTATGTTTACTGCATGTCATATTGCACTACAGCATTTCCATCTGTACCCATCAGGTGACTCTGCACGTCGGACTAAAGACATAAGTCGTTGACAGTTATGAGAAAGTGTTTAGCAACCCATTCTAACTGAATCATGCTATTATACAGTGCCCTCGTTGTTGTCATAAGAATGCAGAATATTTCCTGGCAAAATGTTATTTATAAAATGTATCGGTGGTTGCGGTCTGCCGGCCATGGTATTTTTATGTTATTACAAGCAATTAGTCTCAGTCTGCAAGACAACTCCATTCATTCAGAATCATAGATGTAAACAATTACATCACTAATTATCGGGGTCACCTGGCACTTTCTAACGAAAAGTATACTATATGACATTATGGATCTGCGTTTGGAGGGTTGCCGAATTTTTAAATATTGTCGTACTAATTTTAAGAAAAAGATAAATCAACACAAACAGTCAAATGCATGCAACAACCAAGCATGATTATTTTGTAACCAAAAATCATATCAATTTTAGGCCTACATACTTTTAGGACATAGCTAAAGAAAAATATTTTATTTTCAAATTAGTATATGGTCTCATACTTAAAATGACTAAGGAAATTACATTTTAAATCTTTTTTTCCACATAAGTGTTGAGTATTATGAGGAATATATTTTACATGTGAAAATTTTGAGATATGTGTCCAAACTACACTATATCCATATTATTCGCATTTTTATATTGTGGTAAACATTAACAGTAATATTTATTAAAAAAATGTTTTTATCATAACTGGTCACTAAAAGTTATTAGTAGTATTAGTGTTATCATAACAAAATGCCTTACCAGAATTCTCCCTTTTTCTACTGATGGAGAAGGGACAGACCTGTAAATTTATGTTAAAACATATCAATATTATACCCTCTTAGTAGACACAAAAATTTGGCAGAGTATACTACATTCAAAGTTTGCATAGATAATAAAATGAAAATAATAAAATGTAAATAATAAAAGATGTGATGTGATAGAACATTTGTCTATTGACAGTTCTACCCTAATATTAATAAACAAAATATTTTTTCTTCAAATCTGAAGATTTTTATTAAAATTCTTACCAATGACTATATTGTTCTTTAACAGCTATATTATTATTTTTTCCGATTTCATTGACAGCAAAAACTGCATCATTGCAATGACCAGATAAGACTGATACAATGGATGAAGAAAATGATCGAGAGAGAAGTCATATGGTGACTCAGATCCAGCTCAACCATCCGGCTACAGAGGAGAATTTGGATGACAGATCTAACAGAATTGAAGAATCAGAGATGAATAGTGTTGCTGTATCTCTAACAAGTTCTGAAAAAATTTATATCTTTGAAAATGAAAACTTCTTAAACATAAACTCGATAAGTGCAAGAAGTCTTAATGTTGAAAACTGTAGCGGTTGCTTAGGTGATGTCTGTTTCCGTTGTGATAAGTTTAAACAGGATGAATTAGTTAAGAATTCCCACAAACTTGTCCCGAGAGAAAAGGAAAACACTCCATTCCTTGTGCTTAGAGAGTTTTACCTTGCTGTGGATGAAGGAACGTCTGACGCCATTGAAGAAATAACTTACAACAACAACTTGGATGTCAGTGTGGTTTTCCAGCCAACCTTAACATTTGTGAAACGAAAGCACAGAGGCTGGACAGCTTTGCACATTGCTGCATCTCATTGCAACGTTCGCGCTGTCAGATTTTTGTTGACTGAGGGATGTGATATTGAAGCTCTTACTCCCGAAGGTGAAACGGCATTACACGTTGCCGCAAAACATGGAGCAGCAGATGTAATGTCTTACTTGCTGGAATGCAATATATATCTACGTGATCGTCAGAACAATCAAGGAGTTACAGCTTTGTTAAAAGCTATTTTTAATTCACAGCAAGCCTTCAAAGGCAATTACCGCAGATGTGTGGATATACTGCTCGGGGCCGGTTGCAATCCCAATATCTCATCTTCCTCTAAAGTCACTGCCCTACATGTGGCCGTTGACAAAGGTGACATACATTTAGTCGCCAGACTAATCACTTCTGGTGCAAATGTCAATGCACTCTGTGATCAAAACACCAGCCCATTATTGCGTGCCTTAACGGGAAAGTTTGTCAACACATTTATTGTAACCGCTTTACTGCTGGGTGGTGCCGACACATCTTTGAAGATGAACGAGAGGTCAACTCTACACATTGCAGTGTCACGCTGTGACGACCGAATCATAGAAACATTTTTAAAGCATGGGGCTGATCCAAACTGCCCTGACGCATCGGGTAAAACCCCCTTGTCGGTAGCTGTAGAGGAAAACAACATAAAAGTTGTACCCATCTTGGTCGCTGGAGGAGGGAATATTAATTATGCCAGGCCGCCTCAGTTTATTTCTCTCCTGTCACAAGCTGTTGTAAATAATTCTATTGACATGGTAAAACTATTACTACAACTTGGCGCCTCAGCTCACACAGAGACATGCATGTGGTCCACACCTCTACATCTGGCCGTGGACCAACAAAATATCCAGATTATCATAGAGCTGCTCCGAGCCAACTGTCCACTGAACACTACAAGCAACGCCAAGTACTCTCTGCGGCCCATGACGCCCCTGCAGCTTGCTATGGAGCTTGGAAATGTTGAGATCATCTGTCTACTTATCCAGGCTGGGTGTAAGGTAAAATGGGGATGGCTCAGGGAAGACAGGCTGTCTCTTGCTTTAGCCAGTAAGCCAGATGCCATAAGGCACATTCACAAGTATGTCTCAACAATTCCATCTTTGCTTCATTTAAGTAGATTGTGTATACGTGAACACCTAGGGGATAGGTTCACAACTGTGCATAAATGGATGAGAGAATCCTTCTTTGTGCCACATAAAATATCTGCCTACCTGGCACTCTGTGATATACTTGATTGATTTTAATATTATAATTAGATACCTACTTTTGCACATAATATTATAATGAGATTCTCCTCCGTACCCATAATATTTTAATAATTCTGATTTTTTTTTAAATTAAAATATTTCAAACATTAATGTAGAACTTTCTTTGAGCTATGATTTTATTTGAAAATGTTACCTAAATTACTGTGATTTTTTTAAAATAAAAAATTGTGTATTCATGTTGCTAGCTATGACCATGACCTATAGTGCCAACTATTTTATTTAACCAAACATTACAGGAGCATTAAAAAATAAACATTAAATTTGGTGGAAACCTGAATTCACCTCCACAGTTCAATCTTCTAGTTTCTCATAGTTGCGTTCCCAATAAACCACTGCACATGGTTGTCAACGATGCAGCCCTCTTGCGCCATCTGCTGTATCATGTTATCAAAGCAAGAGTTGCCATGTTATTTAGAAAGTCTGCGCTGCTCATTAGGGGGTCACAAAGAGTTTAGCAAATGTTCTCTCCAATGTGATATCATTGTAAAACTGTGAACTAAAGTATGTCATTTGTTGATATACTTCATCCAGATGTTAGTGAGTGCATGTAGCATAACTGCTGATGTTAAACCTTTTCACGTAGCCAGTGTTGTGAGAACATTTAAATGGGCTCTAACCTTATCCAGCAGCAGGCAGCAGAAAAGGAACCAAATAATTGTGTCTGAGAGCAAGCGTCGACACTCTCAAAAGTAGCTCATGTAGAATGTCTTTCAAATTTTATTACCATTCTTTTTTAATAAAGAAAAATTATTCTGATTATGTGATCTATTGCACTATTTATGAAATGGTTGAGTTGCTTGACAATGGTGTGCACCTTGCTGCCTTGTAGCAGTAGAGCATAATATAGTTTAATTTTAATGCTAGCTCTCGAAACAACTAAATAGTGCCCTATGTTTTTTATTTTGAGATATAGGGGATTTTTTAACAATTTATTTATAATCATGCAATTTATTTATTAAACATAGACCATTTTGTGATATGTATATTCCGTGTATGAAAAAAATACATTTTAAAGTTCATGCATGAGTTAAGCAGTAATAGGCTTTTGTGTATGTTCTAATAAGCTTTGCTGCATTAACTATATTCACCACATTTACAACCCGGTACAAATAGCCTTTTTGAATCCAAATTTCCACTCCACCTTTAGAGCTGTCATTTGATGCACAGCTTCCACTAGTGAAGTATTTTAATCTTTCTTTATCCTGGCTATTTGCACATAAAAACGTGTCCTTAACACGATTTTTACTGTTTATTGTTACAGAAAGCATTTTATTTTACTGGTAGATCGAATTTTAAAGACTTTAATAAGAAAAGGGACCATGTCATCATTTTGAATTACCGGTATTTGCACAAAATATGTTCTGTACTATTACCCCATTTTTAATTTAAAAAACTTTGTTTTATGAATAAGGAACGGAGAGTTTTCATATTTACCAATAGGTTCAATCAAAATAGCCATTTGCTCATGTTGAGAAACAGCTGGAGAGAGATGCACTCTTACAGTTTCTTAACATCCCGTGATAGGCCAGTGACTTTGAAACAGTTGCACCAATGAGAGCTGGATAGAAATGAAATTAAGGACTAAACAGCAAAGCTAAAACAAAGTCCTTTTTTGTGTGGTAATGTTACCTTCAACTTAAACAGAAGAAATATTTTTAAAAAGTAATCCATTTATTCTAATAATTTGCTGGAACACTGTTCCTATCTCAAAGAGAGTTTTGAAAAAAAGTAAATAAATAGTTTTGTATGTTACAGACTTTTTATTTTACAGTGTTGCAATTTTTTTTTTTTTTTTTTTTTAAAGATTTAAATAGCAACCATGAAGTGATTTTGCAATAAAACTAACGCGTTTTTTTTTCTTTCAAGGGGTTTAGAGATTAGAGCCTAAAGTTTTCAAAGTTGTGCATGGAATCAGCTAAAATAACTCAGGTGATTAGTTTGTTTTTGTTTGTTATTTCATGGATAGATTGCTGTACAAATGGTCCTAAAACTAGTAGAAGCCTTATGTGATATAAACTTGATGTGGATATCATTCTTCAAAGTATCATAGTTCAAAGGAATTCCGTCTTGTACATGTGTAGAATACCCCGGAGTGTAATCTAACATTAGTTCAAAGGAATTCTGTCTTGTACATGTGTAGAATACCCCGGAGTGTAATCTTACATTAGTTCAAAGGAATTCTGTCTTGTACATGTGTAGAATACCCCGGAGTGTAATCTTACATTAGTTCAAAGGAATTCTGTCTTGTACATGTGTAGAATACCCCGGAGTGTAATCTTACATTAGTTCAAAGGAATTCTGTCTTGTACATGTGTAGAATACCCCGGAGTGTAATCTTACATTAGTTCAAAGGAATTCTGTCTTGTACATGTGTAGAATACCCGGAGTGTAATCTTACATTTTACTGCCATGATTTATTTCAAAAACTTCATTATATTGTTTTTAATTATTGGAGGAATAACATTGCAATAAAAGCATATATCTTTTAATTAATTTATTATTATTAAAAAAATTATATTAAAAAGCAGTGCTTTAGTAGTTATTAATGTTGTCGTTCATTTTTGTGAATTCATTTGCTGGCTTAGGCCTTGGAGTATTTGATTTATGCTACTTAGTGTAGACTGGCTTGCCTATTACTGGCGGCCCACGAAGTAACGACCTATTCTTTATTATTATTATTATATTCTTAATAGCTTTACCCCTATTCTATTATGTTTTGGCCCGCACAAAGTTTTCATAAAGTATTACGGCCCGCACAAGTTTTTCATAAAGTATTACGGCCCGGCTTACATTTTGAGTTCTGCAGGCCTGGGTTCGAGGGTTGCTGGTGGGTGGGTTAGAGCCAAAGGCATAGCGGGGGGGGGGGGGGGGGGGGGGGGCGGGGGGGACAGATGTCCCTGGGCGCCAGCTTGTTGGGGCGCCAGCTTGTTAGGGGCGCCAAAATGTGCTTTGATATTATTTTATTGATGAAAATAATGGGGCGCTTTAAAATGGATCTTAACCCCGGTCGCGAATCTTGTCTCCGGGCGCCAAACACTCTCGCCACGCCTTTGGTCAGGGGTTCCGCCCCGGCCTCTCAAGGAAACCCCTAAGCAACGTGTAAGTTATAGCATAGGTATAGGCCAATAGTGCTCCCCCATAGAAATTGATTCTAAAAAAAGGGCTGCGCAAGTCAACATATTGGGAACCACTGGTTTAGAGGTTTTGGCGGGCGGTGTTATTTAAACTGGAAAGCGTTGGTAGCCCGGATGTTAGAAATAGTTTCCCCGCAAAGCGGCCCGGAAAATGCGTTAGTAGCCTTAATTAACGCATGCCAAAGCTAATTTTTTTAGATTTCAACCGCTTCCCTTTTTAGGAGGCCCACGTGTGAGCGTCTATCCGGGGGCCGTGATCTCTGTGTGGTAAACCCACGGTGCTGGGGATGCCACCGGGCTCTGAGACTTTAATTAAGGATGCATTAACTTGACGTCTGGGGGGGTTGCACGCCCGATCTGTTTTTAACGATCTCACTTGAACACCACGGCTGCCAGATCGAAGTATCCTTCTAATGGAATGCCACTTCCTATTCATTTTCATTTCATCTCTTACGTAAGTGAAATAAAATAACTTGGATCCATATCTCCGTTACTCGGGTCGCATCTCGCGAAGTGCCAATGGTTGGGGGGGGAGGGGGGGTTAATGACGTTCTCATAGGGTCAAACTATGGCAGTCTGGGGTCGCTGCTAAAAGATAACTGAAGGTAAGCAAGTTTGACTAGCACACGTCACTACTACTGAATGCAGTCGTCGTGTCCATGCCGAGTTCTCACAAACGACTGCCACAAAATAAATTCCCATTGACGGCCTATAGGGGCCACGTACGCACTAAAGGGTGGGGGGGGGG